CGCGCGCTCGCGCGCACGAACGTTCGGAGCCCTGGCATCCGCAACCGGGCTGTCGCTACATTATTCATAAAATAAAACGTGCGAAGAGAGAGGTAGCGCGGTCTCGACGACAAAAAAAAAAAAAAAAAAAAAAAAGGAACGAGAAAATCAAGCGCGAGAGAAGATACGTATACGTGCGAGCGTCGAATCCTGTGCGAGCGAGCGAGAACCCATGTGTAGGTACGTATGTACGTACCGGTCGCTCGGGATTAACGCGAAAATCATTCATCAGCTCCCGACGCGCTGACACTTCCGGCGAGCGCGTGTCGTTAATAATGCGATACACGCGAGCGCTCTTGTTCGCTATTAAGACCCGCGTTACTCCGCGCTGACAACGATTTTCGTAATGTCCGAGACGTGCGTCGTCGTCCCGTTGCGAATAAAATTCGTCGAGAGAAGTGCGACGGCTCGAGATAATAAATTATCATCGACGAATTAACACAGACATTGTGATAATTGCAACACGCGAGAGAGAAATGTGAGAACAAATGTTTGCGTTCTTTTATTTAACAATTAACTTAATCTTTTTGAGATTAGAAGTTCGAGATGTTTTTTTTTTTAAGCTTGTATACAAGACGATAGCGCGGTGACCCGGAGTCACCGCGATTTCGAATCTATTTTTGAAAGTCGTCGAATAAGTCGAGATAATTATCTCGACGAATTAACACAGACTGCGATAATTGCAAGAGAGAGTAATGTATGACGCGAGAGAGTAATGTAAGCATATTTTTTTTTGTTTGTTAACAATTAGCAAGTCTGTTTAAGATTAGAAACTCGATGTTTTTTTGTAGTTATACGCAAGACACGATAGCGCGGTGACCCAAAGTGAAATGAATGATCTACTTTGACATGAAAAAGTTTTAAAACACTTGTACAAAGGATATTGTTACGACGACAATTCCCGATGAGATGTGTGGTCAGCGACCTTGATACAGATTCTGTACGCACTTTATAGTGTCGTGTCTCTGTCGTGTTAGTCAGTCGCTGAATGTCCAAAAGGTACGAAGGTCTCTTCGGCGGTATCTATTCGTATAAGTAGACAGGTTGTTATGTACGCGGTGTTCCAACAAAATAACAAAGAATCCGAACTGCGCCATTTGAACCCGTTATATAAAAATAATAATTACAATAAGAGAGAAAATGGAATTTTAGATTCGATCCGTTTCCGCGCAGGACAATCTCCTCTGTGTTTAAATTTCTTCCGACTCCGAGAGAAAAGAAATCGAGTCCAAGTGCGTGTGAAAATTCAAGCGTTCGCCGAACGAGGTGTTCGTACTTCGAGACACACACTGTAGGTTTCTGCCTACGGCAACCCGTTTTCTGCGCGCGTTCGGGGATTAAGCGGCCCGGCCTTGCCTGGCGACCGATGCAGTAAATTATTATTTCCACGATAAAGACCGTCGCGCGGCAGCGCTCGCTGAGTGGAATTCCCCCGGCTACGCCGTAATTAATGCATCTGACGATAACCGCGGTGTGCGTAGATCTAATCGGGCAGATTCGCCCGATATTGTGGCGCGGCGCGTGAAAATAAATGTGCGCGCGCGGTTTGAGAAATGCGTCGTCGGCGACACAGGACGACAACACGGGCGGGAAACGAGACGGGTGCGTAAATACACAAAAATAAAAAAACACCAAGTGTAACATCGTAATGTCGATATCTCAACTCGAAAGGTTGTGCATTCGATACGCCGCACTTCTTGATGTTGCGTCAACGTCGTCCGAGATATGTAAATGCGAATTTTTATTGGTCGACTTTGAACTCACATACAATGACGAAGATCGTCACATATTGAAAGTAGGAGATTTAATTTTTTCACAACCATAAAGATGCAGACGTGTGTGATGTGCGTTGCTCGGTAGTCCACCACTCGGATCACCAATTATCATATCGTTGTGGCAGCAAGTGTCACAACATCATACGCGCAAATATCGTGCGCGCGAAGTCATGTGTGAGAGAAATCTCATTTTTTCGCGTGACGTTTCTTTTCGCTCGTACACGAAAAACGCGTCGTCTCGTTTCCGGAGGAGAAAAAAAGTGCGGCAAATTCTCTCGGACGCAAATAGGGCCGAAGGAAGGAACGTACGCGCCGCGAGCTTTTGCGAGAGGAAAAGAGGAAAGAGAGAAAAGGCGGCGAGTATCCACGTGGTCCGAGAGTGTGCGAACGCGCGGTGAGCGGTCTGCCGCGCTCGCGCGATCACCATAAAGGATTTCCGCCGCTTTTTTTTTTCTCCCTTTTGGAAGAGGGCGACTGTATAGCGCGCATAGAAGCGCGCGCACTCTCTCTCGCGCTTCATTGTATAATAATGTATCGCATATGGCGCATCTTGTAAAACTCTGCGGGCGTCCCCCCGTCTTGTCCCGACCCGGAGGATGAAGACCTGAATGAGGTTGTTCCCGAGGCCCGGTTCATTCATCCGGCACCGTCGGGCCTCAGAGGTGACGAAAGGTCCCGAAAACCGCCTCCAGGTCGCGTCCAGGCGGGGGGGCGAAGTCTGCGGATTTCAGTCAGCCTCGTTCAGATCACCCGGCCAACACTTACCTGCATTTTGGTTGGTCGGCTTGCTCGCAGAAGCAGCGCGATGTGGTGTGGTATTTCACCGAGGAGTAAATAGGGGGAAGAATGTTTTATGGGATTGAGGATAACACACACGCGAGAGAGCTTTAGTTCGCGTTATGCGTCATGTCACAACGTCTCGTGCTGTTTCACGCTACGTCGTGTTTTCGTTTCGCGGTAACTTCCACGGACGGTAAATTATTCTCTCTTCCGGCAAAAAAATCCACACACGCGGGATTTCTTTATTTAAAGTAGCGGCGACGCAGAAAATCGGTGACAAAAAATTGTCTATCACTCGTAACACACTCTTTTTAATTTTATTTACTATTATTAAATGCGTTTTACACGTTTGCTTTGAACAAAAAAAAAAACAAAGATGATTCCAAAGATTGTTTTCCAGAAGTTTGTGTTTCTCTCTTAAATAATAAATTAGATTTGAATTGCGTATCTGATGTATGTGTACACGTATTATTTTATTTTCAATTTTCCTCTCGACCAGCAATATTTATCTACATACAAGATCTTTCCCGATCAGCCAACCGGATATGACAGATCCGATTAGATGAAAATATGCGGTCTTACACCGTTGGAGATAGACCAACCTCACCCGTAGTCATCGCCCCATTGAGACCAGGGGTAGTCAATAGGATCAGAAACGATAACAATATGTTTCGAGTCAAGAGACCCCTCGAGAGAGCGAGAGACTTGGCGCGCGGTAAATCTCACAGATTAGGTTTTTCGGTCTTACAAACACACGCACACACAGGCTTTTGAATTTACAAGTTTTTTCCGCACTCGAACTGTCAAGAGAAAATTCGCTCTTCGTAACGGAGTAAGTCGCCATTAGTAGATTTATTTTGTTTCTCGGAATTTCGTGTACTTTCTTCGAGATTCCGCGTGTACTTATTCAATAATTTTGTTTTGCATCGGTCACCTCATAATTTTAACTCATTTTCAACATGTGACTTCTATGTCAGTCTATTATTTACTTAAAAAAAAAAAAAAGATAAATCATTCTGTTCTGCTATTCGCTTCGCACTTCCTTGATTTTCCAATCGCACTGATTCTATCATCACGTGCCATTGCATGCGTTCACATCCTGCCTTTGTTTTCATCTACATATTTCATTCTCGTCGATATCTCCGATCTTTGTAGAAACTTCGCTTGCGACATCGCGCGCGAGCGAATACACACGAATATACACATCATTTATTTGAGAAGTCTGACAGGAAAGGTTCTCCCGAAAAGAGATCGGCATCTCGAAAATACGGGAGAGAAAAGACCGAAAACCTATTTAAAGAATTTACATCGGCGCGAGCTGAAAGTTAGGAACAAAAAATTGTAACACATAAATTAACCCTCGGATCGAACATTTTCAAAGATGCGAACGTGATTTAATGAGATCCGAAAGAAAGTACACAAGTTCTGTAAAACGTGCGAGGAGAATTCGACAGATTCCACTTTGTGAAAGCAAGTTTTACTTCGCGCGCGTTTATTCTCTCCACCGAAATATATACATACATACATATATATATATATATATATATACCCATTTCCGATCTTCAACCGACTTCAGCATCCAGAACATCGTAAAGGACCGCGTTATGCGGCTTTGGCGGGGACCGGCTCCGGGGATCGGCGTTATAAGATCGGCCACATCTTTATCTAGGTTGTTTAGTAGGAACGCGCGAGCGCGCGCGCACGAGGGGGAGGTAATATATTTGGAAGGCGCAGAGCGAGATAAGTGGTTAGGTAGGTAGCCGCGGCGTGGTTGTCGGCCAGATAGTCCGGCCCGCTCCGGTAATGGAGACTGCAGGGTGCCGCTAATGCAGTAGCGATGTCACGATGCCCGGTGCATCGGTATATTCCTTCCTCTCTTTCCGCCCTTTTGCCCGTCCTGCGTAGCCCACCTCGTACGTATCTTTCCTCTCCCCGACGATATCGACCGACGTGTACGTCCACCTTCGTTCCTTACTCGTCTTTTTCTCGCTGCTCATCCTCCTCCTCCTTCTTCGTCGTTCTCGATGGACGTTGGTATCTCTTTAACGGAACTCTATTGGGGAACGAAAACGATATCGAAGGATATCGCGACGCGATAGCAACCCGACGTGCGGAATGTGTACGTACAGGATAACGCGACGCGATGTCTCTCGCGATTTGATTTATTTCTGCGAGTATCGTCTTTTTCTTTTTTTGTTTGATCGATCGGACTGGAGAAATTCATCGGTGTTCTTCCTGTGCAACAGTATACGAGATTATTTTACTCAGTGATGGCGAGGTTATTTGTTAGGATTGTTTTTTTTTGTGGTGTGTAACATATACAATAATATACGCAATTGTAGAATATGAACAATACCCTCTTAAGTAACGCAAAGTGACACTGAACCCTTTTTGTTTTGTTTGCAGGATGTTCGGCAGCATGAAGCGGTGCGCGCGCTGTCAAGCGGCGATCCTGGCGTCCGAGCTGGTGATGCGCGCCCGTGATCTTGTCTTTCACGTGCGCTGCTTCTCGTGCGCGGCGTGCGCGGTGCCCTTGACGAAGGGCGACCACTTCGGCATGCGAGACGGCGCCGTGCTCTGTCGGCTGCACTACGAGATGGGCGCCGAGTTGCATCCGGCGCAGAGCCCGCCGGTCCCGGTCTACCCCCCTGGACCGCACTACCCCGGTCAGCCCTTTCCCTCGCCCGAGTTCCTTCATCACCATCATCATCACGCGCCACCGCACCCTCATCACTCGATGCAGCACCCGCACAGTCACGTCAGTCCGGTGCCCTTGCAGCCCTCCACGCCTTCCATACCTGACGCGTCCTCGCCCCCCAAGGTACCCTACTTCAATGGAGCCGCCGCGGTGGTGCCACCACCCAGACAGAAGGGTAGACCGAGGAAGAGGAAGCCCAAAGACCTCGAAACCATGACTGCGAGTCTTGGTAAGTGTAACAGAAATTGTACCGACAATATCTTCATCGGGAAGGTGTCAATAGCGCGAATGTCTGAAATCCATTCAGAGATCACGCAATTTGTTGAAGTTGAATAAGTGAATCGCGAATTTTCACAGCTCGAGAACTGTGAGAGAATTTAAAGTCTCAAACACACGGACCTAAAAGTTATCGAGGGATCCGTCGTCATTCTCGAAAAGTGATCTCCGCGCCGACCGACCGGCCGGCCGGCGCGCGGGCAACGCATAACTGGTCCGACGTGATTTACGGACGTGCGTGGGCGCGGAAACGCTTGCCACCGAAGTCTGATAAAATTTGTCGGCGCGACATAAATTCCCGAATCGAATCCGAGACAAAGCGTGTACGTGTCACGTTGCGTTTCGCGTGGGCGACTTCGCCGGCAGTCCGAAGAACTTAATTTCTGATTGTTGACCGATCGTGAGAACAACTGGTTCCCAGCTGGTTTTCAGCCCGTGGAAGGAAAGAGAATCACCACACGGGTCTTCTCGGGAGACAGAGCTTCCACTTGCTACCTCTTCTTCTTTTTGTTCCCTCTTTCCCCACGCTCGCTGGAGGAGGTCGCTCGATGTCGCCGTGTCGCCGTGAAAAAGGATCGTGGCGCGGCGCGCAGGTGATAGCCTGATACCACAAGCTGGTCTCTGATCTATCGTGGATCATGCCGGCAATTTTTTACGGTCGTTACTAAGGTCCGCGACGATTCACGCTCTCGAGGTGAGATAAATAGCCGTGCGTTTAGTAATTGCGCTTGAATTATGGTTGCAGTTCGAGGCGAGCGATCCTCGCGCGCTAACAGATGATTCGTACAGATTGCGCGTACTAATTGTTTGATATAAAACAGAACACAGTGTGTGCCTCAATGTGGTTGATATTAACAAACAAATTGGCTTCGCAAATCCGAAGTACGTTACGTTTTCTCATTGTTTTTTATTAGACAACGCAAAATTGCTTAGATCTACGCATCTAACGTAAGCAAAAAGAATGTGCGCGAAAAATACGCGCAGAATTAAAATAGCGATAAAAAATTGAAAACTTAAAGAAATAAATCTTCAAAAAATCGTGACGTCCGCGCAAGTTCTCAGTTCGTTTGCAAAATCCAAGTCGGGAAAACGATCCGCGCGCACAACTCTCGAGATCGCGGGGACGTATAGAATAGAGTTATCAACTAGGCTCGATTTCGAACACACCGAAGATGTGTTGAGACCGACGCGATGTTGCCGACGGAAGCGAGTTCTAACGCTGTTTGATGCGTATCACAGCTCATTAGCTCCTCCGAGTGCAAAGAGGCGGATTAGAGGGAAACGGCGATACGCGAATAGTATGCGAAAGGCTGGCGAACACACGGCTAATTACAATACTGCGCAGCAGATAGTTCGTAGACACGATACCTCTGTTTCGCGTTACCGTGCCGATCTCTGTTGCTATATCACGCGCCTACATCTACGAAAATGACGATACTCGTCGATACGTTATCGCGCGCGCGATATCGCGTCTAATCAGCAGATTAATAACGCGGCGGCACCCCCAAGTAAAACGCAATCTGTTTAATTCTTAATAATAAAACTTCGGATTGTTCTTGAAATTGTTGAACAAATCAAATTCTAGAAACGCACACAACACGTCGCACAACACTACAACCGATTTTCTGACGCGCACCATGTGGCTCACGTTCATGTTGCAGACCTAAACGCAGACTACATAGACATGCCCTTTGGCAGAGGTGGCCCCGGCACACCCGGTATGCCCGGTTCCAACAGCAGAACGAAGCGGATGAGGACGAGTTTTAAGCATCATCAGTTGAGAACGATGAAGAGCTATTTCGCGATCAATCACAATCCCGACGCGAAGGACCTCAAGCAGCTTTCCCAGAAAACTGGCTTGCCAAAAAGGGTGTTGCAGGTAAACTGATCGTTTCGAATTTTGCGACTCGCGGTTTTTTTTTATTGTTCTTCCTTGACTTGAGTCTGAGTTTATTTTTTTTTTTTTATTAGCTTTTTTATTGTTTAGCCACAACGCTCGTTCAGTTTTCAAAACGCTAGTTTCTCATTTCTTCTTTATCTTCAATACAATCGTAAATTCATATCCCCCACTGGAGTATTCCGCGTAACACTTCAAATTTTACCCAAACAATTTTACGGTTTATTTATAAGTCACCGAAGATAACAAGAACAATATCGCACAGAGCCATAACGCGCAAACGCTAGTTCGCAAAAGCAAAAAGTCCAAAGACGGATAGCCGGTGGTTTCTTACTTAGCCTTTGCTCCCCTCTCGTTTCGGGAGGGTTGCGCCCTATAAAAATATTCATGTGCGCGCGCGTAAGCTGCATAGACACGCGCTCTCCTCCCAATTAGTGCGGCACGTACGGCGTCGCTGGCAAAGTTAAAAGAATCGCGCGGAACGGAGCGATATTTCCGTCGACAGGCTGCGGTCTTTCTCCGTAATTACGAGTCGGCGTCAATCCGGAGACAGTCAAAATCCCCGGGCAGACGGCAAAGTCTTCGTCGTCTTCGTCGTCGTCTTCGTCGTCGTCGTCGTCGTCGTTGTTGTTGTCGTCGTAACGTCGGATTTGAGCGCGGCACAACCGGGCTTGCTCTTCTCTCTCTCGTTAACCTAGTACCGTTAAATTATTAGGGTTACAAACGTTCCGCACGTACCGTTTGTAAGACGCGGCGTTGCGCGAAAAAAAGCGGGGATAAAAAAGAAGAGCGATTTGAGAGAAAAAATCGATTGAGAGAAAAAATGTAACGTGAAATAAATCGAACCAACGCGCGATTTAAAATTGAAAAACTTAGATGAGAAATTTTCTTTAGTTTAATATTTTTAGAGAACCCGCGTTCTCTAGGTACATTTGTCAATATTAAATCTGAAAAGACTTAAAGAAATTTTAAAATTGCCAAACTTTTACCAATTTTTTTTACCATTTAGCACAGTCACTCGGTACACACACACACACACACACACACACACACACGTACACGTGACTTGCTGTTACATTGCTCTTGTTTCCGCGTTCATTTGTCGAGTCCGAAGGAGAGGGTTGGAGGTGGCCACTATTGTATTCGTAGGGTTCTTGGTCGCCATCTTGCTTGATATTGATCGCGAAACGCACGGATACTTGTTCAACGCGCCGCGCACACACAGCCGCACGCACGCGCGCGCATTTTACGCACGTTCGAAGGGGGAAACACACGGAGAGAGAATTGTCGGTCTCTGCGAGTTTCTTTCGTCCGCGGGGGTGGAGACTGTCTTGAAAATGGCGACGTGGCTTTTGTGTATCTCTTTACATTATTTGCGCGAGAGTATTGGATAACAACTTCGCGCGAGAATAAGAGGACGTGTGTACGTGGCGCAACAAGAAGAACTTGTCTAACTAACGTATATACGTACGTTCGAGCTTTCATGCGAACTCCTTCAATTCAGCTTCGCTCGTGGCGGCCACAAACATATGTTGCTTGTTTTGTTCTCAGGTCTGGTTCCAAAATGCGCGAGCAAAATGGCGACGCATGGTGCTAAAGCAGGACGGAAAATCCGACAAGTGCGACAGCGGGGTGGAGGGTGGTAATCTCGGCGACCTTGAGCTCTACGGGAACAGCACCGGAAGTGGCGGGCCGCCGATGAGCCCGCCCTTCATGCTCGGTGGTCCACACAGTCCCGCGTCCCTGGCGTCTCTGGATTGCGCGTGATCTTTGAGGTCCAGGTTCGTTCTTTCTGACTAGCCCTCGAGTCGTGATAGACGTCGTCGTGTACCCGGGGACGTTCATTCTTCCGGACGGTTTTTTCATGTGAGAGAAATCGCTCGCGACTGCGTAAAAAACACGAGTGAGCAACTAATGGATGTGTAAAAAAAAAAAAAAAAAAAAAAAAGACGTTTCCGCGATGTCGAACGGAAACGAACGGATTATAGAAAAGACCGATCAAGCGAAACTCTCGAAGAATGCATTTTTTTGTTTTGTCGAAAAAAAAAACGCTAGCTTCTCTCAGTCGAATCTGAGATTTCTCTTAAACGGCGAGAGAGAGAGAGAGAGCGACGAGAATCTCAAAAAATGTTTCATGTTTGTCATCTTTCCGTGTTAGAAAAAAAAAAAAAATGTCTTTTCGACAAACTCGCTTTGAGTTGAATGGCTAATCAAGATTAATGTAAAATCGACGCGAACACGCGTTTGGATCCGTTTAATCGATAGGATCGTTGTATTTATTATAGCTCGAATTTTGCGACGTTACGTCGCGGAACAATAAAGTCGTTCGTTGAAACAATTGTAATTAGTTACGAGATCTATTTATTCGTCTAAGTCTAATGAAAGAATCGCGAACATTACCAGTGCTGTGTGAAAATTCAGCGTTTCTGGATTTTTTTTTTTTTTTTTTTTTATCGAGGAGTTGTCAATTTTACGGACGTTCAAAGAGAACGTTTGACACTTAGTATTTGAGGTTTTACTTTACGTTCGAGAAATGTGTTGATCGCATAAAACGAGAGAAATGCTAACTCTGTAAGAGTATATTCGACAACGTAAATTTTCTTCGCGACATAATGTGTATTTACTCTTTTTTATTAAATATAAAAAATTTCGAATTCCGCAGAATTCGCTAACTCGAGAGATCAATCGGCAAATAAAAACAATAAAATCTACATCGCTTTAAATTTGTGCTGCGTTTATTATTATTATTATTATTTTTTTTTTGTTTTTAACAAACACCAGATTTTTACGCTTGTTAAAAATATAAAAAAAGCGGAACGTGACGACACACGCGAGGATTAATCGACGCTCCGTCGGACGCGCGATTGAAACGCTGAATTTTGATGAGAATGATATTAATTATTTATAAAACGAGAGAGTTGCGAGGAATAGAGTCGCGTTACTTTAATTGTATATTATTGCTCAAAATCTCAGATTACGCGCAAACAAACCTAAAATTTAAAACACATACACACATACACACACACACACACATATACACACGATTGTATTGTAAATAAAGAACGTTCCTGATCGCGCGTACTTTTCTTAAGGCACCGTTATAGGTTGGTAGGGTCCTATTAATTGCATTCGGTAGCGGTCGCGCTTCTCTAGATGAGAGGTAATAATAGTAATGACGCGCTCGCGGCGCGCAATACGCAGGACTATTGTTAATTATTGCTCCTACTATTAGCCCTCCTTGTAACGATGCGAAAGAATTGTCCAACCTTTGCAAGATCATTTTTCATTGAATATATTTTGACAATATACATTGCGTGTGTTTGTATTTGTGTTTCCCTACATATATTTCCCGTATCCCGTCGTCTTGTATCTTTATAAGTTCGATAATCTTTAATTAATCTTTAGAATCTGTAGTAATACGTATATATAGATCGTATTTATTTTAGTTTTTGATATCCAAAAATTTTAAAAATTGCTAAGAGAATACTTTCTGACAAACGTCATAATTTCGAGAGAGAAAATAGCAATTAAACAAAAATTATGCGAAATAAAAATTAACACAAATTTTGCATTTAAATTTTAAATGTATAAAATCAGATGTTGCTCAGGGTTTTAGAGTTCACAGAGTTAGCTTTCGACACACAGAGTCCGAGATTGGGACTTTCCACGCGAGAAGGAGACGCAATGGAAAGTCTCACGATGGCGTGTACACACAACGCCACAACGTTGAACCAGAATTTCACCTAAACAAAAACCGGCGCAACATTGTCTGTCCTGTTTTGCCAGTTGGAATAACTAGATTCACTGACCGGCGCGATAATGGCATGGTATTCGATCATGCTCCGTTTATACACGAGAGCAGCAAAAAGTTACGCGAAATTTGATTAATTGCCGAAGAGAATATATTGCGTTTTTAAATCGGAAAAACACAGCAGCAACATCACGGCATTATTAACGATTCGCATTAGCTTTGAGAATGCATAAGAGATTTTTCAAGGCATTTTGAACAAAAAGAATATCAGTCTTGACCTATAAACTAATAATATTAACTAGTAATATTAACACAAAAAACCGAAGTGAAGTTTCATGTTTATACACATCGAACGCGGATATAATATTTATAACTTATCTTATTTTTTATCGTTTTGTTTGTTCGTATCGCAACGATGTAGTTGCGGTATTCGCGGCATTTCTTCTGTGAACGCCGCAGTTGTCGACTTAACGATCCGATTATGAAAATGCGACGAGTCTCTCGCGGCTATCAAAGCGAGCCAGCGTGCCAGACCGAATTACGTAAAACTGGACATCAAGTCCTCTGCGTAAATTACACACACCGGAGACCAGAAAAAGAATTCAGTTGACGACTACAGTTTTTCTCAATGAAGGATCATTTGTGTGAGTATATTCAAGAGTATCATAAAAACTCTATTTAACGAGCTGTTATATGTTCTTATCGATTTGTATCTCCGTTTTGGCAAATCAGATCTGACGCAAAAAAAGGATAATAAAAATCAAAACTCGAGTCAACATCGATCGGAATATAAAAATGACCAGAAATAAATAAACTTATTAAAAATAAAAAGACAGAAGAGATTTTTTTTTTTTTTTTTTTGGAGATACGTTTCGCTGCATTTCGTCGTCGAGTTTTGGAAAGTCTCGCGTCGTTTCGCGAACGTCGCCCTCCCTCGCATAGATTTCTAAAAAGAACTCCGCGTTCACATAATATTACGATTCGAGCGGCGCACGGCTTTCCTTTGGCCATGCAATATGCATCAAGCTGCATTCAGGACGCATAGCGAGCGCGCCGATGCGATTTCAACTCGCGATTGTTCGTTGAATTTCTAAGCCAAAAAGAGGATGACGGGAGAGATAAAAGAAACGGCGGCAATACAAGCGTTATATACGGGAGTAGAAGAGAGATATAGACGGACGCGCGCGCGCGCTCCTTAACAAGTTCGTTTCATTATATTTCGGAAAATAAACCGTGCGCGCTCAATCTTTTCGTGCTCAATTTTTTTCGTTTCTCTTGTATACAATTATCTCTCTTAAGATTAATATTTATACATCCTCTCGAAGCATAAGATGTTTCGAAGTACGTTTTTTTTTTTTGCATAGACACACATCGTACAATGCAACTTCTTTTGAATTATTTACGTTTGTCTTGTTAAATATATAAAAAACACGGTTTTTCCACACACACAATTAATTAATACTAAAGTAACATTTGTAATCTTGCGGAAAAACAACAGGTTTTTTCTTTTTTTTTTTTTTTTTAAACAAAACGTGTATAGTCTCTCATCGCGCAAGAAATCCCGAAGGATACGATCGGCACCGGCGCTGCCCACGGTAACGGTCATCGTCGTCGTCGTCGTCGTCGTCGCGTCCGACGAAGCAAATGAGACATCGTCGATGTTCGACACCGTCGTCGACGCGCACTGTCATCGGGATTTTCTGTTCACCTAGTCTGGCATATCGATCATCCGAGTTATCGATATCTCGTTTTTGAAACCGGTCAGAGGGGACAACGGGTCGAACGAGCCTCGGTCTCCGCATCGGTCACGGGGATCTAGGAATCCTTCGATCATCCCCGTCACGCCTCATCGGCTCCGAAAACGAACGATCTCCGAATGTGATTGGAACACGCGCGAGTTTGTCCCTTATTATTGATACGCGATAGGAGATCGAAAATAGTTCTCGATCGCGCGATGTGTCTTTTCTCCCTTCCCCTGAAAACTGGTATATTCAGAAATATCACACGGTCTTGTTTTTTGTTTTCTGAGAAACACAGTTTTTTTTTTTTAAATCGTTGGTATCGATAAGAGACATATTCTGTGTGAGAACTTTTCCAAAATATGCGAGAGACGCATCGGACAGACATTTCCTTACCGAAACCTTGAAATTCCATTCACGGGAATCCATTCTCGGTAAATTTGAAATTCAGACCTTTCTATTATTTACCCAAGGTACTTTTCTATTATTTACTCAAGGTCAGATTTTAAAAAAATATAACTGTTGACAACTTCGGAAAGGAATAATAGTTTTTATTTTTTTTTGTTTGCGCAAAAAATGTAATATTTTACTTTTACATGCAAAAACTTTATCAGATATGTAAATCGACGAATAATATTCATTCGGCAACGAATAATATGCATTTAGAAACAATAAATATCCTACACTTTTATCGGAGTCTTTATTTTTCGGTTTGTTTATTCAAATTTTTCAAGTTTGACGCAAGTCGCAGAATTGTCTTGCATCTCGTTGATTATATTACCCAACAACCTGTTGTTTAAAAAATCGCGAATAAACAATTATAACTTTGTAAAAATGACCAAAGGTTTAATTTAAGATAAAGATGTAAACAAACAATTTCGAAACCTTCCGAAAGAAGTCGTCTAGACGAACGACGATTTTAATAATCGTAAATTAATTAAAACTTGATCAATATATTTTGATATTATTAATGACGGTAACGTGTCGGCATAAAAATTGCGTTATTTAGTCAAGTGCCGCGAATAAACTCGGCAATTACATAATCTACAAAAATAGCCACGACGAGTCGACGATAGTGTCCCGTTGAACTGTGAATTTATTTGCGATTCGTGACTCTGATCGTCCAGAATGTCATCACGTCTCCGGCAGCTACGTGTATTCATCGCAATTTCTCACATCTTCCTCGTTTTATTGCGTCTTCACTTCGGTTTCTTCCTTATCGCGATATCCAGCTTTTCTTCGTGATCGAGAAAGTGTGAAAAGATTGTCGTTAACGTAACGTAAAGTAACGCGACATTATATTTCCCGTGTAGCCACTCGTTAAACTTCGCTTCCTGATGTTTTAATGTCCCCCCGCTCTTTCGCCACGCGCGCGCGGATGCGCGCTTCTCTCCCGCACAGCTTCGTTTTCAGCTTTCAAGTTCTCGTCTCGTGTTCCGTCTCTCATCTTGGATGAGTCTAGATCTTTTTTTATCAAAAAAAAACTTTACCTCGAGCAATCTATTCGCGAGGCGTTCGCGCCCTTTCGCTAACCCTTTTTTTCGCGCCCCCCATGCTCGAACCGCGCCACTTCACTTCAACGAGAAGAGAGAGACCCCCAGCACCGACGCGATGTGTTTGTGCGCGGGCGAGCTCTCGGCTAGGAGAGACTCCTCGACAGGTAGCGTGCAGGAAACGAGTTCCATCAGAAATTACTCGCGTAACTACCGAAGCGAAACACGCACTCCTTAGCTTCCCGCTGGACTTATCAAACTCGGGGAGGGAATTGCAATATTTTTTTTGAGAAATAGAGAGATGGATTTTTAACTGTTATTTGGGGTTGTATAATATACGATCGGTTTGTTTTTCACAATAAAAAAATGAAAATTATTCGAACAAATTTTTATTCGAGATTATTATCTTGGTATTTGGAATTATCAAATAGCGATCTGACTGTGAGAATATCACATAGGATTTGAGAGATTCGACTCTGTGCGCACTGCTTTCTCCGAGAACGGTAGATTCTCTCTCTTTTCTTTTTTTTTCTTGTTTTTTCTTTTTTCAAAAGAGGGAGAAAGAGAACGCTTCTCTATGCACCGCGTTTGTGAGGTATATTTGCGGGTTCCGTTTTTCTCCGCCACCCACCGGGTGCTGTTGACGTCACGCCCGGATACCATTCGACAAGGGGCGCCGCTCTTCTGGGCCAATAATTCAGACTTCAAGGCGCGGCCGCGAAGATCGCCGTGACGGAGTATCAAAAGCCACGTGCTCACCCTGCGCGCGCCCGTTTCCCTCGTTTTCTCTTCGTCCCTCAGGCCGGTCAAAGCGGAGAGCACAGCGAAGCGAAAGAGAGCCGGGACGAGTGTCGTAGAAGCACAGAGGGGAGAAAGAGAGAGAGAGGGAGATACATGCTATTTATTCATACCCCGTGGCTCAGCACGTAGTCCCCTAAATACGTTGGATAAACCTGAATAGAGTGTATCATAAAAGATATGTGTATTAATAGTTAGGGATCTTAACGATCTAAAATTACCAAAACTAATATTTTCGAGAGAATTGAAAATTCAAAAAGAGAATTCACGTTTTTACATCTACGTGCAGAAAAAAAAAAAAAAAAACGACTGAGAAAAATTTCGTAGTCATCCGAAATTCGAAACATCTGACGGGTAACACAAAGGAAAAAATGCAAACTTCTGACAAACTTCTTGCTATTGAAGAGACAATTGTCAAGCGTAAAAAAAAAAAAAAGAGCCGCACTGATAAAACAGCACACGACACGCAATGAAAGAGCCGTCACTGAGAGAAACGCGAGA